ACAACATGATTCTGTACATTGAAAATTCCCAAAGCTCCAGAGTACTGACAGCAATAGAGGAATATGTAAGGGTGGCATGATTCAAAATCAACAAACAGAAGTCAATTGGTTTGCTATATACATCAGAAAAGACCATGGAAGAGGAGATAAAAAAGGCAGTACCCTTCACAATACCCAAGAACAAATTGAAATATCTAGGGATTTATTTAGCCAAAACAACAAAAGGCTTATACAAGGAAAACTTCAAGACCCTACTACAGGAAACCAAAAGCAACCTCCACAAATGGAGGAATATCCCATGCTCATGGATCAGAAGACTCAATATAGTAAAGATCTCTATCCTACTCAGTGCACTTTATAAGTTTAATGCAATCCGGATTCAAATACCAACAACCTTCTTCAAATAATTGGAAAAGCTGACAACCTATTTTATATGGAGAAGAAAGCAGCACAGAATTAGCAGAGAACTCCTCAAGAAGAAGGAAAAAGTCAGAGGGCTCTCTTTACCTGGCTTTAACACCTACTACACAGCCACAGTGGTCAAAACAGTGTGGTACTGGCATAATGACAGATACAACAGAGCTTTGGAAAAGAACATAAAACTCAGAAATAGAACCATCAGCATATAGACAATTGATCTTTGATAAGGGCCCCAAAGCAACAAGTGGGAGGGCGACGCCCTATTTAACAAGTGGTGCTAGAAACAATGATAATCCACATATAGAAAAATGAAACAAGATATCTACCTCAACCCATGCACAATAACAAACTCTAGGTGGAACATGGACCTAGAAGTAAACCCCCAAACCATCAGGACCATTAGCAAAGGAATTGGGACAAACCTAAGAACCTTGGGCCAGGGAATACAAATGCTAACAGCAATAGGGCAGGGTACACACACAGGGTAACCTGAAATCGACAAGTGGGATTTACGAAGGATAAAACACCTGTGTGCATCAAAAGACTTTGCCAAGAGGGTAACAAGGCAACCCACAGACTGCGAGATGATTTTTAGCAATGGTGCAACAGACAAAGGGCCCATTAAGAAAATCTGCAATACTCTTTTTGTCTGCAAAAAGAGGAAAACCGTCAACACCTTGAAGAAGTGGGCAAAAGAACTGAAAAGATTTTTCACTATAGAGGAGACCTATATGGCCAATAAACATATGAGAAAATGCTCCTGATCATTAGCCATCAGAGAAATGCAAATCAAAACAACCATGAGATGCCATCTAACACTTTTGAGGCTAGCCCAAATCAGAAAATCAGTGAGCAACAAATGTTGGAAGGGATGTGGTGAGACAGGAACTCTCCTACAATGCTGGTGGTCTTGTAAATATTTATAACCGCTATTGAAAGTAATCTGGTGATAATAGAGAAAATGGAAATTGATCTATCTTATGACTCAGCTATCCCTCTACTGGGAAAATACCCAGAAGAGGTAATAAATAAACCACGGCCAGTTGTAGGCACGCCAATATTTATTGTTGCACAATTCACAATCACAAAGAGTTGGAAACAATCTAAATTTCCACCGGTAGATAAGTGGATCAGTAAACTGGCACAATGGAGTACTATGCATTACTAAAAACCACTGATGAGCACATGAAACACATCTTTTCAAGGGAAGAGTTGGAGGAAATTATGTTAAGCTATCTCAGCCAGTAACAAAAGGAGAAGTACAGCATGAGTCTCCTGAGGTAAGTGTAATCAAAATGGCTGGTAGGTGTAGAAGAGAAGCCACCTATATCACAAAGTTCGGGTTGAGATACAGGGAGTCAGGAGGAGATTAGACCAAACCCAAGGAGGTACATGTTGGTCCAACACAAAAATGGGGAAAGGAGGGAGGTTTCAGGGAGAAAAGGGGTGGGGTGAAAGTGAAATGATGACAGAGGGAGCAGGGCACTAATCCACCTAGGGGGAAAGTACTGGTCTTATCTCCACAGAATTGGGAGTGGGCATGCAGACCCTACCATGGCACACAAAACCATGAGGACAACATGGCCACGTGGAAGAATGCATGAAAAGAGAGAGCCACAGGGTTGGCCCCAACCAGAACCAAACTGACACCCTCCCTAGAAATAGGTAGTTTCTAAATAGGTACTGTTCTAAATGTACAGGTTGGGGAGAGGGACCAGCATGCCACATCCACATGGGAGCAAACCAGGAATGAAGAAGAGAAACGAAGAGCCAGACTGGACCCCACTCTGGCACACCAGGCCCAGAAGATGACGTCACTGCGGGAAACTAATGGGACACAGAGGGGACTGGGCGACTGATAATAACTCGTGTCACATTGTCTCCTTACTGGAGCAGACTGCGATAGAGGACATTTCTGGGGTCACATGGTGGGGAAGTAGGGGGTTCTGAACCCCCCCACAGCAGGATGAACGAAGAAGGGAACACACCAGACGAGCAGCTGGAGCATAGTGCAGTAAAGCATCAGTGAAGCACGCTATATTCCTCTGGTTCTTTGAGGCTTCCTCACCTCCCACTACCATGACCCTGGGGATGCTTTTCAATTCAGACTAGACTGGAACATGTACACAGATATAGATAAGAGATGGGAGCTCACGATGCACAGAATCCAGGAAAAGGAGTGGGAATAGTGATACCAGAAGGGTAGGGGGATGAGGAGGAGAGGAAGGGGGAATGGGAGAACTGATAGCAGTGATCGACACATAACCATACACCCCTCTACAGCGGGGAAGAACAACAGAAAACATGGAGAAAGGAAGGCAGTGGTTGGTGTGAGATATGAACATAATAACAATGTACAATCTATCAAGGGGTTATGAGGGTGGGGGAAAGGAGGGGAAAAAAAGAAGAGCTGATACCAAGTGCTCAATAGAAAGTAAATGTCTAGAAAAGAATGAAGACAACATATATACAAATTCGCCTGATGCAAGTGATGTGTGGATTGTGACAAGAGTTATAAGAGTCCCCAATAAAATGATATTCAATGAAAAATTAAATTAAATTTCAAAAAAGAAAAACGAAAGTTGGATATTGCATAAGGAAGACTGAAGAAGAATTGGTGCATTTGAATCATGAGGCTGATGAAGAATATTGAAAGTACCATGAATTGCCAAAATAACAAATACACCTGTCTTGGAAGAAGTAAAGCCAGAATGTTCCCTAGCAGCAAAACTGGTGGGATCATGTACTTTGAACACATTGCTAGGAGAGACCAATACCTAAAAAAGGACAAATTGTAAGGGAAAAACCATAAGTACATTAAACAAGATGGATTGACACAGTGGCTGCAATATAGGTACAATTGTGAGGATAACACAGGACCAAGCAGTGTTTCATTACGTTGTACATAGTGTTGCTATGGGTAGGAACTGACTTGATGGCAGTTAATAACACCATATATATCCTAATATCCCAACATATATATGTGTTGTTATATATATTTGTGTATATATGTTTATATGGCTTCTGAGGCTGTAGTCTTTCTATGAGCAGATCACAGTCTTTTCTCCTGAGAGCAACTTATGGGTCTTAAATACCAAACTAATGGTTAGCAGGCAAGTATTTAACCACTATAGTACCAGGACATTTATATATTTACACCATATATATATATAATTTTGTGTATGTATATATATTATTTTGTGTATATATATATAATTTTGTGTATTTATCATCTATCTATCTATCTATCTATCTATCTATCTATCTTCATCATCATCATCATCATCATCATCATTATTATCTATCTATCTATCTATCTATCTATCTATCTATCTATCTATCTATCTATCTAATCAGTTCTCAGCCCAGAAGAGGTCATTGGTCCTTTGTAACTGTTATATCATAAATCTTGAGAATACCTCTAGGAGGTATCATAACTAATATAACAGGTGGCTTGCTGATTTGTAATTCAAATCCACCAGCTACTCTGAGAGAAAGATTCCATTGTCTGTCTCTTTACTAGATCCACAGCCTTGGAAACTCTAGAGAAGTTTGCTATGAGTCAGAATTCACTCAAGGGCAATGGGTGGGGTGGGGTGAGTGGGCCTGATATTACAGTTAATGGTGGTGGATTTAAGCATAAGGCCTTCATTTCTGAGGATTGTGCTCTTTGTCGCCTTGCTATGTTCACATGCCCACTAATAATTTACCCATTGTCATTCCTCCTCCCTATTTTAGCCTTGTTTCCATCCTCCTTTGACTCCCTGAGCATGCTCACCTTTGGAGCATGCTTCACATTCTTGCCCAAGTGTGAGCTCTTAGAAGTTCAATGCCTGGAGAAGAAGTGTGGCTTTGTTATTGGGGGATCTGTGTCTCAGTACTGGGTCTACCATCATTCCGGGGTTTCTCTGAGTGAGTTCCTTGTCCCTTCTGGCCTAATCTCCCAAGTATTAAAATGATAATGCTAAATTTAATTTTGAAGCTACTTCCCCTCTCTAACTCTCTAGGAAGATCTTAGTCAAGCACTGAAGTCAGCTTGTAAATGGACTCAGTGTGCCTATTAGCATCACCATACAACGGACCCAACAGTTTTCAAAGGAAAAGACGAAAGTTGAGGCAGGAAAGGTCTTCAAAGAGGAATTAAATAAGAGAGTCAAATCTACTTCCTACTCTGGCATATTCTTTTAGATGAGTATCTCATCTTTATAAAACATTTTCATATATGAATATGAATGGACTTTTTAACATAGGACTCAATTGTAAAGTCAGTCTCTTAAAAAAAAAGAATCAGCTTCTCATATCTGCTATCCTGGTGTATACAAACTAGAGCTCTGATGGAACAGTGAGTTAGGCATTGAATCACTCTTTGAAAGTTCAGCACTTCAAATCCACCAGCTGTTCCATGGAAAAAAGATGAAACTATCTCTTTCCATAAAGATTTGCAGCCACAGAAACCTCATAGATCAATTCTATTGTGTCTCTATGAGTTGAAATCAATTACACAGTAATGAGATTTTGGGTTGGGGTATGTACAAGTGAGATAAACAAAAGGAATCCATAACACAGCATGAGAACCATACCATTTCAGGAGCACTTCTTCCCAAAAATCTCTGGCAAAGAATCTTGATTGTTGGTAATTTCAGAGGGACTTCATGCCTCAAGAAGAGATGGCTTATCTGAGATTGGAGAAGATATCCTGAAGAGATGGGGTCCAGAGACTTCAGATCTTTCTGAATCTTATCTAATAAGCTGGAACTCAAAGGGTTTGACTTGAGTTCTTTTTTGACCAAAGAAAGAAGAAAATTGTCCTCTCTTGTTGCTCTGCTTGGTCTTTGGCAGATATCCTAACACAAACGAGAAGGTGAGGGGGAGAAAATCAACACAGCTGGCTCTCAGGGAGATGGTTCAGGGCTAATGCAAGCAACAGAAGAGCACTGGGGACGGTGTCCGTGTCCACATTCAGGCCTGACCTAGAGCAAGTGGGTACCGCCTGAAGGTCAGTGTTCTTCCTGGACTTATCAATTAGTTGACAATGCTTCAGACTTTTTCCTTCAGGCAAAGAAAGGAAGCAAACTATTTTAGAACACCTACTGTATCACAATGTTCCGATCTGTATCCAAATACGGGGGTGATGTAAGAAAAGGCTGGTTATCTATTTAAAAAACTATCACCCTGAACCCTCTGGATCACAGTTCTACCCTGGCACAAATAAGGTCACCAGAAATATGGCAAGCTGGCTGATTTACTCCGTTAGAAGTCTACTATATAGTGTGTCTTTAAAACTAACTTTTATGGTTACATGAGAATTTGGGATAACATCTTAGAGCAGTATTGGTCTGGCCCTTTAGGTCTGGGGTTGGAATAGAGAGACTAAAGACAATGCCCCGCTCTTTGTGGAAGTAATTGGGATTATCGTGATCCTTCCTGAGTGTAGGAACCCTTAAGAAAGGAGAGTTTAGTTGAGACACCAGGAGTTAGTCTGTGGGATCCTCAGGGGGAATTTCCTGGAAAGTCACCAGGCTGGCTAAATCTAGAATTCCAAGGGAAATGTGGTGCCCCTTTTACATCACTCTCTCCACATCAAAATTTACTGTTAGCAAATAGTACCCCTTCATCAACAAGAGATACAATAAACAAATCTTATACATACCTCAGGTTGGTCAGAGCCACCTCTCACCATCTGTTCCAAGGACCAGTCTCTGAAGTTTCTCCTGGGAAGGCCATGGATGTAGGATAGAGATTGGTCTCCAGTTGGTACAGAGCTGCAGTGGACATTTGCCTATTAGGAAATATATCAAGACAAATGAAATCAAGGAACAGAAGTGAGGGGACCATTCCTAAAACATACTACCAGTTCCAAATGAATTTAGGCTGACTTAATGTGGCCTTTTGATCCCCTAAGAAGAAAGCTTCTTTCAAAACCGATATCAGGATTTTGTGGCTTCCACCTTTGGAAAAATATTAATAAGGAAAACATGAACAATTAGGTAGTGTTTCATTGTGTACCAGATAAAAAGAATCTGTGACCAAAAAATGAGGTATAGATGTGGTTGGGAGGTGTGCCAGCCCCCCACTACTAATCATGGGTTTGATAGGCACAATTGTATGGTTCAGATATATTTATTAAAGTCATAAAGAGCATGAGAGATAAAAGAGAGACTGAAATAATGGAGTCAGGCACATTTCATGGTAGCATGCTTAACTCAGCACCACTTGGTAGTCCACGTGGAGAGAGGAGGAAGGGAAGGAAGACAAGAGGAAAGGGAACAGAGGAGTGAGGACAGGAGAGGAGAGGGGGAACCAGAGAAGCCAAGAAGGGAGCCTGAGATAGCTCTTTATTGCTAACCAGGCCTACATACCTCTGGGGGGAGTGCAAGCCCACCAATTACAGGTAAAGACATATGTCATAAGATGGGGTTGCACTGTAGGTTAACAGCAATGAGAGGGGGATAATCTAGGGATATACACACAATAGGAAGAGGAAGGATTGGGGGTATACATGTGACAAGAAGGGCAGATCATAGATTCAGGATGGCAGCCTAACTTTGGATGTCACTCAGCAGGTATGACCTGTTCTATGGATCTCCATGGAAACCATTATCAGTAGGGTGTAAACCCCACCTCCAGGAGCCAAGCTAAAGGTCAGAAGCCTTTATAGCCCATTGTCCTTAACAGCAGGGAGCGGTCCCTACCTGTCTGGCAACTGACTGCCTTCAGGGAGGATATCTCTAAGCATCTGACACCCACCATATGCTGGCAAAAAGCCCCTAATGTTTGGCATGCCTTTGGGAGAGACAAAGCTAGGAAAAAGTCTCTTCATAATCCCACATATAGAGACAAATATAGTGTGTTTATTAGAAATAAGGGCATCCTTCAGCTGATTCAATCAGCAAGTTTGAAGAATGCAGCAAAAGTGAATGTAAGCCTTCTCAACAATGGAATAAAAGATTAAGATGCCCAGAATATTATTATATTCCAAAGGCAATGTTATTAAAGGTTATAAAAGGATGAATGATGGAGCAAGGATCAATGCTAAAATCCATTCTCTTGCTCTGGAAATGATGACCAAAAGGAGGCACAATTAGGACTAAATGAAAATTGATTGCATTCATTTGAAAAGCATGTTGAATAATCCATCTGCATGTATAGAAACCTACATATATTTTAGATTCACGTAATATTTTAAGAAAAATATAAAGAGGCTCTCTAGAGTGGGCAGGAAAGATAGCATTCTAGAATAGGCATTAGAATGAGCATTATAAGGATTACAAAGATCTACATATAACCTCCTTCCTGGGGGACAGACAGCGGAGAAGTGGGTGAAAGGCGACGTCGGATGGTGTAAGATATGACAAAATAATAATAATTTACAAATTATCATGGGTTCATGGGGGAGGGGAGAGGCGGGAGGGAGGGGAAAAATGAAGAGCTGATATCAAGGGCTCAAGTAGAAAGCAAATGTTTTGAGAATGATGAGGGAAACAAATGTACAAAAGTGCCTGACACATGGATGGATGTATGGATTGTGATGAGTTGTATGAGCCCCCAATAAAATGATTTAAAAAAAACAAAAGAATGAGCAGTCATTTATTGGGCACATACTCTGTATGAGACATCATATTTAACCTTACTCGTGTAATTTCATTTAACTCTTACAGCTACTGTAATAAAAGTGTACTAATACTAGTTTATTTTTACATCTGGAAAGCAAAGACTAGTAGAAGTTAAGTCACTTTATACATTTATTTAACATCTATTTATATCTTACCTGATATGGGGTAGACACTGCTATGTCATCCACTGAACAAGCTTTTACAGAGCTTGTAGATGGTGGAAGACACTGCAGGCAAGCATGATCACAGAGTGTGATAGGACCACTACTGGAACTGGTCATGAGACCACCTAATCTGAGCTTGGTGGGTAAGACCTACTGAAAGAGTTGACATTTAAATATAGACAGGGAAGGTATTTAGTTTTGATTAAGGAAGAAGTAGTAGAAGCAGAAGAAAAAGAAGATTGCAGGAACTGGATTTTGAAAATCCCAGTGATGTACACACAAAAGAAAGAGACAGATGGTTTTAGAGAGTTAGTGGTACAGAGGGTTGAATGGTGGACTGCTAACTGAAAGGTCAGCAGTCTAAATCCACCAGCTGCTCCACCAGAGGAAGGTTAGGCTGTCTGCTTCCATAAAGTTTTATAGCCTCAGAAACTTTATGGAGCAGTTCTCAGCCCAACAGCGTCACAGAGTCTGAATCAACTAGACAGCAGTGGATTTTATATAGTTATTGAATACCTTTATCCTGTGGTGGGATGCCAATAATTTAACAACTGTTTTGCTGCCCCAATGACCATTTTAAGTATTAAAAAAGGATATACCAAAAGGTAATCTATTATTTCATGCAGTTTTACTTAAATAAGAACCACAAAAGAGATACACACAAGTTTTAAAGAATTAATGAAAAAATACTAGATAATAACTGGCACACACACACCCCTCAATAAAAACAAGATCAAAGCTATCAGGATAATCAGTAAGAAAGTTGAAACAAATTAAGGGCTCAATTGCAGGGCATACATAGACTATCAAGTATAACGAAGGAGGCACACATTGTGGAAGACAAGATAGATGCTTATACATAAATTACATCACTTGTCTACATCGAAAGACTTCTTCAGGAGAGGAAAATTAGAGCCCACAGATTGGGAAAATATTTTTTATCAAGGACTCATTGGACAAGGGTCCAAATTACCAAAATATACAGAACTCTACAAAAGCTAAATAAGAAATTAACAAATGACCAAGTTAAGACATGGGAACAAAGACATGAACAGACAGTTCAGCAAAAATGAAGTGCAAATGGCTAACAAACAAATGAAAAAAATACTCATTATAATTAGCCATAAAGGAAATGCAAATTAAAACCACCATAAGATATCACTTTACACCCACTGTGCAAGCCCAATTCAAAAAAGAAAGAAAGGAAGAAAAAGAAAACTTAGAAAACAACAAATGCTGAAGAGGAGTGGAGAGATTGGAACTCATATACACTGTTAGTGGACTTGTAAATACATGAAAACTATGGAAAATGATATGGTGATACGTAAAGCAACTAGGAATTGAAATCCCACACAGTCTAGTCTAGCAATACCATGATCAGGCATATACTCCAAAGAAATAAGAAGCACAACACAAGCGGATGCATGCTCTCACATGTTTATAGCAGCACAGTTCACAATAGAAAGAAATTGGAAGCAGCCCAAATGCCCAACAGTGTAAGAATGGATACACTATGGTACATACACACAATGGAATACTATGCAGCTCTGAAAACAGCGACGAAAGCATGAAACACCACATGACATGGAAGGACCTGGAAACCATTATGTAGAGTGAAGTAAGCGCATCACTAAAGGACAAATATTTTATACATGACTCCAGTACTAAAAGGAGAAATACAAATTAAACAAATCCTGGAGATTAATTCCCAAACAAACGGGTAGAATATCTACTTGACATGAACCATACACCACCCTCTTACGTGTACTTTATAAGAACCACTTCGAAAGAAGAGACACAGTGGCTGAGATCACTCATTCAAGAAAGGATAAAAGGGAGTGACTATCTGCTTGATGCTATGTAGCGTTGAGAAAAGGCTGCGACAAAATCATGGGTCCTCCATAAGAACGAGAGGAGAACCTTTCTGGAAAATCAAGTTATGACCAGGGGAGGGTACCGTCTACATTTCAGAGGAGGCACTGATTATTTCTGTTGTGGGTGTGGTGGGAATATTAAACAATTATTGCAGAGAACCTAAGGGAATAAACCCAACTCTATGGTCCTGGGTAGACACTTCAAATTTTGTTTCGGGTGCATCATGTCAAGGTGAACTTAGACACTGGCCTTACACGGATCATGGCATGCCCAAGGACCACACCAGAAAGACTTACCATGTAAGCTCGGCTGAACGAACTGGACCCTAGCTCAAAACTACCTGTACTTAGGAATGAAATATCCCGATAGGAGGTGAAGCAAAGGATGGTCACCTCAGGACTGTGGAAATGGCGGTCATTGGACCTTGGGTGGGATTAGAGGGTGTCCAGTGAAAGGGGCCCCAGAACCACCATATACTTAGTATCTCAATGCTCCCTTTGCATGGATATGACAGTTTTTAATCTTAAAAAGCGAGGATGTGCTCTTGTAAGAAATGATACAGGAAATTTTCCCCTACCACAATCCCAATCTCAATGTAAACAGAGCTCAATCAATTAAGAAGTCAATCTGTACAAAGCAACAATTTGTGGACTGCAGTTTACAGTTGTACTACACTCACATAAATTCCTCATATCAGCAGTACCTTAAATTTTAGGCCATTGGATAAATTATTGATGTCATCAATGAAATAGCTTTATACCCTAGGAGGATGATTGATAATTATTTTCTATTTTGTTTTGTTTGATTTGGTTTGTTGTTTTGTTTTTTGTTGTTGTTCTTCCAGCTTTTTGTTTTTGTTACAAAGTAAACCACAGTCAATCATAACAAAGGGACAAGCAGATTTATTCTGGGCTCCCCTGTAATTCTAGCCCCAGTCCAAGAACAGTTACTTCTTATAACATGATCCTGCTTGATACTCACCTTCATGAAGAGATTACTGAAGTTAAGAGTCTATGGGAAAGTGTGGTGAAGAAAGTAGATGGGGCCTGGCTATCAATTGGAATAATGCTTGGGGTCTTAAAAATTTGCATTCAAACACATAGCTATCTATGTGAGGGATCAATTAA